GTGGAGTCATCCACTCCGGCACTGCCGATGGTTCTGGCCTTGAGGTGATCCAGGCCTGCTGAGACAGTGGTCTCATGGGGTTTTGGGGTTGGGGATTTTGGGGTGGCATTTGTGTTGGTGCGCGCCCCCGCCTCGCGCTCGACTTCCCCTTTCCCGACAAGGGTCGGCCGCTAAAATCGTACTTCGACCGGCATTGATTAGCATAGTGCCTCCCCTTGCGGCAGCGCGGGCAGATACCGGGGGGCTGCTGGATTCCTTCCGATCCTCCTTTTTGCGCAGGGTTCTCAGGACACTGCCGTTTAAAATGCCCCGATTTTCCACAGCGGAAACACGCTTTGTTACCGGGACGCAAGGCAGCGGCTAAACAGGCTGCAAAAACCTCGTTCTGATGTGTCATTGAACCCACGCGGCTGCACGCGTCAAGCATGTCTATTATGGTCAGGTTTCGCAATGTCTGCAAGACTCTTTTACAGTCCTCACTGGCATTTTCTACAGCCAATTTCATAAGCAACGCCTCTCTGGCTTCAGGATTTTGTACTTGTTTTTGAATAGCTTCTTGGAGCTTGTCGATAAGATCCGTATAAGATTCGTTGCTCCCTTGCTTAATGTCGGTAAAAGGTTTTACCGGTTGTCCCGTATCAGGGACCTTTAACATGGCTTGAAACGCAAGGTCCGCTGATTGTCTCAAAATCTCAGGCGCCAGCCGTGCCTGCAGTTGCGGGGTGCTGACAGGGTCCTCCCCCATTAACTGAGCGAGTCCCGCGCCCGCTAGCGGGTCTCCCGCTCGCCGATCCAGGTTCTGCACAGCCGCATGATCGCAGAGCTCCCGCCAGTGGGTTTGCCAGAGCACTCTTTGTGTAGGGGAAAATATTAAATCGGCCAACGCTTTGGTATCGAAAGGGGTTAACAAGTGTCCCTTCACGATATTTTGCAATAGGCTCCGTGTAAAAGGCGCTCCCAATCCGCATTGCATGATGGTCCGCCTCAACTCCTTAACCAAATCCCACTGAAGGGGCTGCCAGCGGTTAGGACCGTGTTCGCTGACTGTGACAGGGTATGCCGCAGTAGGAAGGTCCCCTTCTGCCAAGGCTTGTTGTCGAACGGCCTGCCAGTGAGCAGCCAGATCATAGTCTAAGGGTTCATTGTCGTGGCTTGAGACCCCTCTG